ACACTCATCTCAAAGAACGTCCATTACGGCATTGGTGAGTAACCTCCTCTTTTGCACCTTCAGTTTCTTTCTGGTCAGTTTCTTAAAGTGAAGGGCAGGGAAGAGAAATGAAGATGAGAAGAGAAGAGGTTTTCAAGATGTGAGGAGGCATTTTCAGTATAGAGGAGACCATATGTATTGGATTTCATAAGATCATGAAGTGAAATAGTGGAGATTTAATAGTTTTATATCTTTGCAGTTTAAGGGGAATATAATAGTAAATTTCTCCAGCTCAAGTTGTTATTTTCCACAGTATATGTGAGCATCTGACCTATATATTGAAATGCCATTTATGTCATATCTGAATATGAATGGCACAAAATCATACAAACAGCTGCTTAAAATGTATGCCTTTCAATCTGTTTCAGATCTGCAATGAATGGACACATTGTTGATATTGTTAATTAGATTAAAGAGAACAGAACTGTTCTAAATAACTGGAATATTTCTGCATTTTCATGGTAAATATGATTTTTATAGTACTTCAACAGTCATAGAAATTGGACCCAATAGGTCCTTACAATTATATCAGTGAAACTATCACACCAGTATTCAGAGAACTTAAAGCTTTATTTGTGCACTTTATTTTTAAACTTTCCTTTTGTTGTAGGGGAAGCACACTTTTGTTAAATCTAGGGGAATATATCTAGTGTAGCTAAATCCTAAATCATGGAAATGAGCTATTACAGTTGAATGCTTAACTTCTGAGATTCCCTATACTTATCAAGGTTAGCATATAAAGTGCCATTTAAGCACTGAAGGTAACTCCTCTGTGAGATGAAGTCATGGGTATAGTATATTTGGTTGAATTTTTTTCTTTGTGAGGTTTTGTTTGCAGGTTTTTTTTTTAATTAAAATAGCTTTTGTGTCAAAATGGACGGCTTTGGTGGGAAATATCTGTTTCTGCCTATTTTTTTTAGGTTTTCACCGCAAAACCATAACCAATTTTTTCCCACTTTTTGGTAAGCCTGAAAATATTGTGGATTTTGGCCAAAATGTTCTGATTTTAAACAAATAATCAGTTTCTGAATCTTCCATTTGATTAGAAAACTCAAAATTGTGAAGAAAACTTAAAATTTTATTTGATTTTTGTCAAAAAAATGGTAGGAACAAAAACCATTTCCTTTCAATTCATTTACCTGTCCTGGGTAAGGACAAGCATCTTAGCTGTTTCTAACAATACACTTCCATCTAGTAAGACAGCATTTAAGAGAACAAAGTCCTAGCATTGGCTTTTCAACATTGCCATATTTCTGCCAACGTGGTTTTGAAATATGGTGTCCAATACACCTCCATCTCCTCTAGTCAATGGCTTTCTTCACCTAGCAATTAACGTCCTGAGGCAACAGATATGTGTCTGTAATTCTAAGAGAATTTAAATGGTCTCTCTTTCTACTCAAACTGAAACTGTCCTCTAGTGATGAAACCCTGAGATTCTAACTCCGTCTTCACTCAAACCAAATTCTCAAGAATTTCAATAGCAATTTGAATGAGTAAGGTCCTCAGAATTTAGGGTCTGGTGCTAGTCTTATTGCCAACAAAGGCAGTGGGAGTCATTCATTTCAATGGGGGTAGAATCTTGGTCCTTCAAACTCTTGGTTTGATTTTTTTTAAGGTTTTCTTCACAGAACTTCCTTCAGTCACACATGGAATTTATCAATCCAAAGATGAGCTCTACACACAACCTTTATGATAACAGCTTTAAAAAGTGATTCAGTGGGCCAAATTCGAATTCGGTTACATAACTTGAATAAATATAGTTTAAACTTGTTATCTATATCTCAGAATGTAAATAAGTTTGTCTGACTCTATGTGATTTGGATGGGTGAGTCATATTATCCATAAAAGGGACAATGTTGTTGAGTTTTATTGGACTAACATCTGCTGGTGGAAGAGAAAAGCTTTCAGGCTTCACATAGCTCTTCCTCAAGTCTGGAGAAAGTAAGCATAAAGCATCCAAGCTAAATACAAAACAGGGCAGATCGTTAAGCATAAGGGGTTCACGTGCTATAGAAGATCACTTAATTTTAAGTGTGCATTTAAGGTTTAGAAGGCAGTAGGATGTATTACAAATTATTATGAGCCACAAAACCAGCATCTCTGTTAAGTCCACAGTGTTTAGTGTCTGGTAGAGTTATGAATTTAAATTCCCCAGTTCATCTATGGATGGTGTTGTGCAAGTTTCCTTTGAAGAGAAGAACAGAGAAGTTTCAGATATGGAGTGATTGCTCTGTGAAAAGTTTTCACCCATGGGTAGTAGGTTTTTGTCTTTTATTGCTTTTCAGCATGAGTTCATTCTAGGGATGTTAGCAGGTAGCCATGTACACAAATGACTGATCAGCCTCGGCTCATTGGTTAAGCATAACAGCATACACACACGCACACCCCGTATCAGAGGCAGCAGAGGGGTGAGGCAGAGCCTGCTCTGTAGGATCTGGTGCTCATGGGGAGCAGGCTGAAAAGCTTGCCTGATACAGAGACAGCAAGGGTATGTGTGCATGTAGTTTGGATTAACGTATAGTCATCTGCATTAACCAATAAGACCAGGCATATCAGTTGATTGTTTAAATGACCATGCTCTACCATCCCTAGTGTAAACGTATAACTGCTAAAAAAAAAATAAAAAAAAATTCCAGTGGTTACACATTTACACAAATACATGTTGGTTAACATCCCTAGTTCATTCAAGAGCATAGTAGTTGTTTGCTTTCAGCTTGATGTTCCTGGTGCATGTGGTGCACTGGATGACGTACCCCACGTTTTGCTATGGGCAAGTCAGGACCCATGGATTGAAAGGTGTGTTGTGAGAAGTAGTGATCATTCTGCCAGGGGAGCGATGTTCTGGCTGGGTCTGGTGCCTCTTTCAGTTGGTGTGTCTGTCTCTGGGGAGCTTGTTTCTGATGCTGAGCTTGGAGTTGTTCAAAAATCAGAAGAGCGGCCTGTGTAACTCTGGCATTTTCTTAGGAGGCCAGAGATAGGAAGTGATAACATAGTCTTCAGAATGATTCTTATAGCAATACAGTCAAGTTTATGAAGGTGCATTTGAAAAAAAAAAATCTGGAAAATTAAAGAAATCCTGATTTCCCCACATCTCTTGGTATAATTCCACTGGGATCAGTGGAGGTGCACCAGCAGTTAAATCTCAGAGTAATATCAATGGATACTACAGTAAAAGCAGAGGCAACTGATGGAGGACGCAGAGGGGCACTGACATGTGACCACCACCCCCCGACTTCTCCCTGTGCCACTCTGGGAAGGGCCGGGACAATGCACCCTCTGCCCCAGGCACTGTCTCTTCCTGCCCCATTCCGCCTCTTCTGCCAAACCCCTCCCCCAGCGATGCTGCCTAGGGGAGTAGTGCGGTCTGGTGCCTGCAGCAGGGGTTCAGCCCAGCCCCGCACTCACTGGTAGCAGCGGGGGAATGAGAGCAACATGGCTCTGCTCCCCGGGTGCCAGCCGCATCGCTCTGCTTCCCACCAGTGAATGGTGCATGGGCTCTGCCACTCCTGATTATTGTGGCTGACGACCAAAGGGCGGAGCCGCACCGATCTGCTCCACCATGCTGCAGCTGGTCAGTGTGGGGGTCTCGGCCCCTGCTGTGAGTGTAGCTCGTGCACCTAATAGGGAGCTATCTCTTTAAGAGATCCTAGGAGGGGAAGGTAGGAGTGAGTTGTTGTCAGCCGACGGTCAGGGCAGTGAGTCCTTTATGACAGGCTGAAGTTCTTTTAAATTGTGCTTGGTTCTGTTACAGCAACTGAAGGAGTCAGGTTAAAGCTTAAACAGTTACTATTTTATTGTTACAGGGTAAACTTAGTTGTTAAATGCTACTACTGTGTTACAGATAACACAGTCACTACAAAGGACAGGACAGAAATTACACTAAGAAGTCACTTACAGGTACCATGAAACCCTTTTGGTTCTCTGAGCTCTTATTAAATGCATGCAAAATAGACACCTAGCAGGTATAATTCTCACCCCTGCGTTCCAGACTTGGCGTGGCCAGCGTCTTTCTCTCAATCCCTCGGGAAGAAGTAGGGCGAGGATGGGCGTCTCACAGACCTCGGGAGACAATCAATACCTGCCAGCAGGTGTGGATGATTGGAGCTCAAATGGGGTGAGCTACTGAACCCCTCTTTATACCCCTTGGGTCATGTAGGCTTCTTCCTGGTCTCAAGTGGCCAATTAGGAAAAATGGCTTTGAATGCCAAGTTTCCCACGAAGGGTGCAAAGCATAATTCACACCTGGGAAAATGCAGACAATGGGCACCTCTGGTATGTGATGGGCAAAGATTCCTCTCCTGGGACAGTGCAGGCGTGTCAATTACTGGTACTAGCCATCAGGGCGACGGGAGGCCCCAGGTCATCAGCTAGCTCATTTACTGTCTGGTTTCTGTTTATGGTAGAGTCAGGGACAGGCAGCACACCTGCGTTCCCAGGGCATCAAAGGCTGACTGCCTTTCTCTTGCTCTCTGGGGGGGACGACAAGATGGGGTTCGTGGAAAAACAAGATGGGGCTTTGTGTCTGGCTACAGTTGGCGCTCGTGTCTGGCTACAGTTGTGTCTGGGTCAGTGTTGCTAGGTGGATTTAGCACTCCATGCCCAGAACCTTCTGGAACTAGGTGTGGTGGTTTGGGGTCTGCTCCAGTAGGTTCTGTCTCTGGTGCTGGGGTTAGACTCCATGAGCCAGCAGGCAGGGCAGCTGCTTCACTAAGGGCTTGTGCTCTGTGGTTATGTCTGCACAGAGCCCTTAAAGCTGCAGCCTTAGGGGAAAGGGCTTGTGGCAAACAGGAGGCCCTAATGGCCCTGAGCCACCCAGCAGCTGCCCCTGCCTCAGAATTTGCCCAAAATGACTCAGTCTGCTACTCCCACCTAGCACTCCACTGCTCCGAGGGGGCAGTCAGACAGCTCCCAGGAGCCTGCCCGGAGCCAAAAGAGTGTGTCTGGGTCAGTGTTGCTAGGTGGATTTAGCACTCCATGCCCAGAACCTTCTGGAACTAGGTGTGGTGGTTTGGGGTCTGCTCCAGTAGGTTCTGTCTCTGGTGCTGGGGTTAGACTCCATGAGCCAGCAGGCAGGGCAGCTGCTTCACTAAGGGCTTGTGCTCTGTGGTTATGTCTGCACAGAGCCCTTAAAGCTGCAGCCTTAGGGGAAAGGGCTTGTGGCAAACAGGAGGCCCTAATGGCCCTGAGCCACCCAGCAGCTGCCCCTGCCTCAGAATTTGCCCAAAATGACTCAGTCTGCTACTCCCACCTAGCACTCCACTGCTCCGAGGGGGCAGTCAGACAGCTCCCAGGAGCCTGCCCGGAGCCAAAAGAGACGCACCCTTCCTGGTCTGGTGCAGAGATCCTGGACCTCACTGAGGTCTGGGGTGACAAGACCAACCTCCAGGATCTCTGCACCAGACGCAGGAACATGGACATCTATGGCTATATGGCCAAGAGCCTGGCCAACAAGGGAAGACATGACTATCATGCGTTTTCCCCAACTACCTGCCATAGCTGTCCATAAACTGGCCCCACTGGTCCCAGATGGCCTACAGGACTATTGAGAAGTACCCCTGCCGGTGGATGTATTTAGCTGCCAGGTGGTTGGAGGTCCAGATGCAGATGTAGGTGCCATCAATAGCGCCCCCTCAGTGGCGGAAGCCCTGTCAACAAAGCCGGAAATGATGTTGCCTAGGTTGATGACCCTGCACAGCAAGACAGTGTTGATGGCCCTCACCACCTGTAGAAGAAGACAAACAAACAAATAGAGAATCATAGGGTGGCCAGATCCCCAACCCCTTTCCCCCCATACACCAGGAGCAAACCCCCCGACACTTATTCCATCCCCCAGCAGGCCTTTGTGAGAGCGAGACTGAAAAACCTCCTGGGGAGGAGGCTTGCACCACCAGCACCCTCCCCCCACCCTTTTCCCTAGGGAACCCCCTTCCAGCAATACATTTCCCCTCCCCTCCCAGGACAGTAGCCTGAGAGCCCCATATCTGCATGAGCAGAGCCCCAACAGTTGATCTCCCCACGCCAAGATGGTTCCCAATGGATCAGTAGCTTCTAAAGGGTGATGTCAACCCACTTCTGGAGGGGAATGGCAGGTATCATGTGGATGTCCCATTGCCTGAGGGCAGGGGTGAGCCACTCTCAGAGCTGCAGAAAGGTGCCCTTCCTCAGTCAGAAATTCTGGAGCCACTGCTGGTCATCCCACCGCCCCATGACGAGCCAGTCCCACCAGTCAGCACGGGTGTCCAAACACAAGAGACAGCAGTGCACGGTGGGTGGGATCCAACAGCATGAGCTGCACCCGCAGAGAGGCGAGGAGGGTCTCCAAGTGGAGCAGGGGGTTGGGTTCCTGCAGGGTCTGGGAGGCAGCCTGCAGAAACTGCTGCATAAGGCGCAGCACAAGCTGCAATAGCCATCAACTATCCAGAGGCAGCTCCGGCTCCATGGCTAGAGAGCTGAGGTGTCCACAAGGGCAAACACAGCAGGCAAAAGAAAAGTTCTTTGCTGTCCCTCGAGGAGGTAGGCAAAGGAAGAAAAGCTGAGGCACGTCTGTCCCGGGGGGTCCCTTTAAGCAAGAGCCTCAGCTAGCCTCAGGCAGCAGCCACAGGAAGTAACTGCTGTCCTGATGACCTGCCTGAAGTGCTTCTGGGTGGCCTTACATGCGAGTTAGCGTCCAGTGAGTGTGGACATTCTATTTCAAAATTAGCTATTTTGGATAATTTCTTCTGGAATAGTTTATTCTAAAATAAATGTACAGAGTAGATGTAGCCTGTGTGAGCTGGGAGAAGCTGAGCCAGGAGCAGAGAGCAGGCTGTTGTCCCTGACACTGAAGCACTCTGCAGCAGGTAGTGATGATGTTAACCCTCTACCAGGGCACAGGGGCAATGTTCTTTATAGCCAGGGGAAACAAGGAGAGAAAACACCACCTTCTGTGTTAGTTGCATGCTCTGAATGCTGTTTTGATTTTAGCCAAACTGGTCTAGTTACTTTCTCAGCTGGTGGGATTCTTCAGCTCCTCTTTAAATGCAGCAATGGGAAAAGAGCCGTTTCTATTCTGTTATTCTCAGCTTGTATATTTCTTGTAGCAGGGTTTTCTTTAAGTCTTTATCCTTGTGAGTTAACTGACTGGTGAGTCTGTGAGCTGGCTGCCTAGCAGTGATCCACAGCGGGGGAAGTGGCTGCCTGCACTCCAACTGAGGATCCCTACAACCAAGTGGAGAGCTGGTTCAGACTCAGCCTATGGTGCAGATTTGATGATCAGAGTCTTAAACCGAGACTTTGGTGAACTAAACCTAAGCTTCTGGGATCTCTCAGTCTCCTATTATTGTGTTTTTAGTTTTGCTTTATTTTTTGTTTTGGACTGAGCTGTTCAAATTTTACTTTTGATTTTGTCTTTACTTATGTCTGTTGAAGACAATGTCGGTGGGTTCTAAAATGGTTCTGTTGTAAATTTAGATTCTTATTTGTTTCTTCATCATAAGATTTTATAAAGTTATTTAATTAAATTCATTTCTTTAGGAGTTTGGGGGATTTGAATGTAGGGAGGCTGACACTTGGCAATTCTTACTGAAATTCCTTAAGAGACTGAACTCTGGGTCTCCAGCTATTTTCTATGGGAGTGGCAGAGGGGAGTTTAGACACTGTGAAGTCTAGCCCACCCAAGGTTATATGTGCGCCAACCCCCCGCCACCCACACACTACTCCTTCAGGCTGCCCAGAGGCTCTGGGCTCTTGTCCCTGCTGCCTGCAACATTTGGGGGACACGTGACCCCTTGCACCCCCCTCATGCAGCACCAGTGAGTAAAAGCTTTCACAATCAGCATGTTGTGGGAATGGTGGGGGGAATGTCAAATACTCCAGTTATCGAAGAGTTAACCAGAATAAGTTTGGGAGGGCGTGTAGGGCCTTTTGCTGAGAGTCTGGGCTCCAGGAGAGGACCAGGGATGAGGGGTTTGGGGTGCGA